GCGAAACTCTTGAGAGAGCTCTGATTACTCAGCACAACAACCAACGAGCTTAAGCTAATTTAATAGTTTTGGAATCGTTGTGCTTATTTATTATTAGTTACTCAGTTTTCTGCGATAAGCGCTTAACTCCATTTGCAATGGCCTTTCAAAATGTCAACAATTACACAATACTCTAAAAACAAAACAAAAAACATTAGTATTTCATGTCTGCCAATAAAAAGCCCATTTCATCAATGTCATGTGGCAGACCAACAAATGGGAACCCACATCACACACTTGTCTTCTTTTTTGTTTTTGGATACACGTGCGGCAATAATGGTGGGTTCCAATAATTTTGCTTAATAATGCAGTAATCGACAGAAATGAAAAAAAGCCCCAATAATAGCAATAATGATTGAAAGTGGTAGATGGACATGTTGAGGTTCAAACGAAACGATTATCGTCATTCGATAAATTAAAATAAAAATACAAAAATAAACATTTATTAATGTTGTGCCGCATATTAAATGCCCTTGTAAACAATCAAGAATGCTGTAATTCCTGCTGTTAAATATTTATTTCTATTTTATCGCCAAATTTCCAATTAACAAGTTTTGCACACTAAAATGTAAGCATGCGTGAATGAGTTCTCATTTCTCAATATGGTCAATATGTCAGGTCAATATGAAAATATATCTGCTCGGGGAATACGAGAACTTATATTCCAAACTTGAAATCTCTAACTCTCTTGATTCTGATCAAGAACAAATATACTTAATGTGATCGAAGATGCTTAATTCTGCTTGTTACTTTGGCATACTTTGGCACGATTATACTCTTTTTATTGTAAGAGTAGAAAGCTTCGTTTAAGGGAAAGTAATTGTATTTTAAGCAAGGAGCACTTCAGATCTAAAGCAATTTATATCAAACTCATTTTTATGGCTCGTTTCTAACAAAAAGGTGAGCAACTACATATATGTGGGGTATATATTTACTTCAATACAAGGTCTTGCCTTGCCTGATTTCATGTCTAACTGTCGGGGTGAGACCTGAGGCCGGCCTTAGTCATGCCAAGTTAATCAAGAAACAAGTTTTCCGAATCGATGCCATCGAATTACATTTGCCACAGCAACAACAGCTTGTGTTTCTCCTCATTGAGTTCCGCTAACGAATCGCCTTTGGCGCAAATGAAATTAATGAAGGCGGTATTTGACTAATTTCAATTTGTCTACTAGCTCGCTGGGCAAATGCACCTCAAAAAAGACCATAAAAGGGGCACTTTTTTTGGAAAAAAAAACAAAGAGTGAAGTTAAGAAACCAGTTGTTGCATTTAGACACGCCCTAAACGACAATGAACTTGAATCCCCAAAAAGATATGCAAATCAAACCGTTAAATAAAAACAACGTAATTAATAAGGCATGAAAATGTGACTGTCAAAGATAAATCATACAAGAAAAGCATTTGGCCGTTAAGTGGGATTGTGGATGGTGTTTGGGGAACATTATCCAAAAGAGAAGACGACCTCGAACAGGTAACAAACAGTGGATAAATATATACTTTTTTTTTAAGGAATTGGAAAATCCTTTATGCAGTCACCAGTCAGGTAGTCAATTGTATGGGGTGTGTTTTATGTGAGTTGCTCGAGAGTTCAAAGGCATTGAATTGAATTTAGAGTTCAGTTTAGTATTGCGTGTGCCTCAGCCGTGATTCACAACAACGGAGGACTTGCTGGTAATTAAAATGATACATTTTTATATTGCGGACCACGCCCAGGAATTCAATGCCTTACCCAAGCCAAAAAAAAATCAAATTCCTTTCCCCCAGCTTATGATAACTGAAGCTAATTACTTAGGATCGGTCAGAAGGCTTGTTCAACTACATTATATGGATTTGACGTGATCCGAAACCGAACCCAACCCAACCCAAAAACCAAACCACAGACAACACTTGAGCTCAGTGAAATGCAAAAAGTCGAGTAGAATCGAGTTGAGAATCGATCGAGTGTAAATGTGGAGCAATTGAATATCAATATCAATATCATGTTAGACACCTCTCATCTCACATTTCAGCTGGAAAGTTGTTGACCCACTCTGTAACGGCTAAGATAAAGGCTCAATGACGACAATGGCAAATCTTTTAATCTCTTAGAATTTATATATATCCCATTGCAGCAAACTGTCAACGTTTGGCATTTGATCTATTGTCTTTATAAGGCCCCCAACTCGCTGGACCTTATCGCTAGACTTCTGGCCAGAGATCATTTGTCAATGTGTCATAGCAGTTTATGTTTTTGTTTGGGTTTCGTGTTTGTGTTGCATTGTTTATAGTTTGGTGTGGCATCTTCGTTTCATTATTATTTTTTAAATATATTTTTTGCTGTCGCAAAGCCGAAATGTGAGCAATGTTATTGTTTAAAAATTGAGTAATATGCTGCTCCGGTTCGGAATGCGGCCGAGATGGGTTAGCTGAGATTAGCATGAGTGATGTGACACATTCCCAATGTGTAGCAGAATGTGGCAAACACTAAATACACACAAATAGAACCATTCCCAAAGGTTGGTCTGGTTGTCAAGCGGTAGCCAAACTCAAAGGCAGTCTCAAGAATAGGCTCGTAAGATTGAAATAATAATGCGATTATCGAAAAGTCGGATAAGACAGTTTAAATAATAAGAAAGGCTTTCTTCTAGTTTTCAGTAATATATTTCTCAGTAGAATATATTTATAGAAATTAGAAATGCAATGCAAATTATACATGAGGAACGTTTTAAGCGGATTATTTTAAGCAGTAGTAGGTAAATTGATGATCTGATCAGCAAATCTGTCCGAAACAATCGAAAATTTAGATTTGACACAATTTTTCTTATGAAGATTGCTATTAATTCAAATGATTCAGGCTGATTCGCGACAACAATAATTGAGCAACAGCCTATCAACATACTTGAAGCCCTCCGTTTATGGTGTTTCAGCGAATTTAGCATTCGAATGAGATTCAAGTTTGACACTCGACACCTGAAATGTCGCCACTTCTAAATTAATTCACAACCACAACAAACTGCAGATCTTTGTGGACAGTTAACAATTAATTAATAGCTGTCCAAACAGTTTATCAGTTAATTGCTAACAGTAATTGTCATAACGTTTGCCGTAAATATTAAATCCAAGTCGTTTGCCGGCCCACGTCTAATTGCAGATGGCCCACAAAAAAACGTTGTCGAGCGTTGGCGTTTGCCAAACAGCCAAAGAAATAGCTTTTGCTTCGATTTGATGTATGCTCAATTTGTATTTTGACTACAGCAGCAGCAAATACTCCAAAATGCTTTCGAATTCTCCAAATGAGTTCACACATTTTGGCCAACTCGCAATTGCTTTGAAATTGGGTTGATTGGATTGGCCTAACTGTTAAAGGGCCTACACAGCGCAAAAAGAATATATTGCGTAGGATTTGCAGCCTATAACAAAAACTATAAGCTATCTATCTGAATATGAGTATGGATAATAATAGCAATCCAAGGAATAATAATAAAAATCCAAAGATATGTCAATAAGAATCAAACATTTTCTTTAACTTATAATCTTGGTCTGATAATGAATGTGGATAATAATCCAAAGAATAATAAAGTTGACCTAAATCTTTGAAATTCGTTTTTAAATATGAGTATTGATAATAATAAGCCAAATTTACTTTAAGCCATAAACTAGGTGTGGATAGTAATCTAAATATTTCTTAAACCTCTAAATTTGGTATGGATAATAATCCAAAGAACCCTTTAAACTTTATGATGAATAATCCATTAACGTATCTTAACCTATAAACTTCATTCGAATATGAGTATGAATATTAATCCAACAGTTTCCCTCAGGCACAGTTGACCACTCAAGAATACGCATTTATATGTTATCTACAGTTTTGATTCAATTTATGTGCTATTGATGGCATTTCAAAGAACCCAAAAGAACTCCACACATTTTCACCTAATTATGTGTGCATTGTGTGAAAATGAACAGCATTTCCAGACTACCGTTAAATGGTTTTTGGCATTCTAAGCGCTTGGTATTTTGTTTGGGAGTTTTGATTAAATGCATTAAGAATCTAACAAAAGAAAAAAGGAATGAGAAAAATTGAGAAAAACTAGTTTAAACAAAGCTAAGATAGCGGCAGCTTCCTGCCACTTTTTGACAACGTACCCCGTGGTTGTGGCAGACACAGACGAATGCTGCTGTTGCTGCTGCTGTTGCCGAAGGTAAGCCACATTTTCGACACACAAACCTTAGACAAAAGACACCTGCTGCTGCGGCTGCTGGCCAGGCCAAATACGCTTGGCGTTAGCCAAGTCCAAAGCAAACAATGAGCTAACAGCTAGCAGCGGCTGGCAGAATGTGGCAGCCACTTTGCGGCAGTTGTGGCATGCGCTTGGTAATTGTGTAGAGTGTTGCATGCAGCGCACGGCTTAGTGCGAAAACTGACCCAGTTTGTGGCCAAGACGCCAAGACCAAGACCAACTCACAAGCTGGCCACAACCAACTTACTTCTTTTTTTTTTTGGTAACAATACATTAAGCCACACTAATAGAGCCCACTCTTTTTGTTACAGTAGCCCAAGAGCCCGCATCGAAATAGAGATAGAGACAAATAGAGAGAGAGAGAGAGAGAGAGAGAGAGAGAGAGAGAGAGAGAGAGAGAGAGAGAAGAGAGAGAGAGAGAGAAGGAGAGAGATAGATAGAGCTATTTGAAATTGTATGCACACAAGATAATGCCACATTATTTATGAATGCGACACGTTCAACAAGTCTTTGACCTTTTAATGAGTTGTGAAAATTCGAACGCAGAAAAGTTTTAATAGCTATTTTGGTAAATTAGGTGCGAACATTTTTTTCCTTTCTAGAATATTTAGAAAATTCATCTTCACAACTATTTTACTGTTCAGGTGTTTGTAAATCAAATCTGGAGAACATGTTGAATTTTACATCACTTAAACACAAATGTAATTTTGGATTAGTTTGTTTTTCATACAAAAAAATATATAGTTGCTTAAATTGTTAATATTATTTAGGAATGGAAACGGTGCGCAGAATGGTTCTAAGCATATTCTATAGGCAGAATCCAGCAGTTGGGGATGCTGAGAATGCTGGTGTTGAGGCGACGGCGACAGGCGGCGAGGAACCCAGCTCCAATGATGTGGTGGACTTAATGCAGCAGCAGCAGGTGCAGGGGCAGCCACAGGGACATGGGCCGGGACTGGGGCAGGTGCAACAACTAGAGCAACAGATGGAGACGCCAAGACTCTATCAGTTGGCAACGTCGGATCAGCCAGTGGAATCAGGGCCGCAGCGTTTTGTCGAAGATCGCATCGCGAACGTCGACTATCACACGGAATTTACGAACTTCATTAATCGCAATGCGCCGCAGGGTTTCGCGCCCAAGTTGCACAACATGTTGCCCTACTTGGGAATCAGTTTTGTCGCCTGGCCCAGCTATTGGATATGGCGTGGCATCCACTGGCAAACGAGGCGCCGCAGCGAACGAATTGGCCTCTACATACACAGGGTAAGTGCAAAATCTCTTTCCCTACACTCGGAAAAAAATCGCTGGGATTGTCGATTTAGGGCAAGCTTTATTTATTTTAGTAATAATCGTTTCTTAAATTTAGAACTTATTTGAAAACAAAAAAGCTTGCTCATTTTTCAGGACGATTTTTATTCCGAGTATCCGATATGTCTCTCTCTATATATATATTTATAAGTTTCCGTTGATTAACTGGGCGCAGACCTTTCAACATGCCAAGCTGATGCAAGTGGTGATTTTGGGCATTGGCCTGCTGATGGCCAGCTCGGCAGGTGGTTCCTCGGAGTCCCTCGATGTGCACGAGGTGGCCTATGCGCCGAAATCGAAAAGATCGAAACACTGAATAATAGTGGGCTGTGCCACAAATGTGTTCTTGTCACAACCAAAACAACTAATAGCAATTAATTTCTACAAGTTCATATCAAACACAAAATTTAAAAAAAAAAAATGGGCATTCCGAACTTCTTTGAGAACCTGAAGAATTGGGCGGGGCATGTGGTAAGCGGCACGGAGACGCCACAACAGCGGCATCAGCAGCAGCAGCTGAACGAGCAGCAAAGACGTTTCCCAAATTTGGGCGAGGACATTAGTCACGTGGTGCAAACGCCAGAATTTGGGCAGGTCCTCGATGCGGCATCACCATTTTTGCTGGCCAGTTTAGGCGCATGGCCGGGCTATTGGCTATATCGGGGTATCGATTACTATTCGCACAGGGCGCACGTCCCGCTGCCCACCTACATCAGACAGGCACGTCTTGAAAGGATTATAAAATATCCCCAGTTATATCTCTCAACTCATCTCTCATCTTATCTCGTCTCCTCCTTAGACATTTTACCAGGCCAAGGTTCTGCAGTTTGTCATCATCATGAGTGGGATTATAACCATAATCAACAGACACAGGCGCAACAGCATTCTACTCTACAACAAAGAAGTGGAATAAGACATAAAGATCAAAATATAAAAAATTGCTTTTTCATCCACATTCACAAAATACTCATTCGCAATAAATTTATTAAGTAAATAAACATTTAATTGAAGCTGAAACAGAATTTACTCTTTTTCCCGCTGCTCTACCTCATTCTCGAGTATTTTAACATTTTCTGCCACAGTTCAGGGTTGCATGCCACAAGAATAGTTCGATGCTTGCCTCGATGGTATCTTGACTCAGTTCAGCATTGAACAACTCCGACATGCCGTGAATGTTTTTGCGCAGATTATATATTATATATTTTCCACTTGCATCTTATGGTTTGGGCATTTTTCAAAATTACTCGAAATTAAAAAAAAAAGCAAAACAAAAAACGACTGTAAATCAAGTATGTAATATATTAATCAAGTGTCGACGACAAGTGAAAGTTTTACTTTTATTTAAGATTTTACAACTCGAAAGCAAATATAACAAATACTCAACACAGTTTCAAGTTCAAAGTTCAATAGCTTATCGCTAACGAGCCAATGATCTAGTTAGAGCTCTCATATATATGTATATATAAACAGCAGCGGTATCCAAAATTAACAAAACAAACACTAAACAAACGTCGCCCCCGGCCAAGTGGAAAGATAAATTAGCTACAATTTAAACAAATTACTTAAGTATGAGTTAAGTTGAGAATTGCAGCACGCACAGCAAACAGCGGCAAAAACCCACACAACACACACAAAAACACAGTCAGCGCACAATTAACACGAAAAAGCTGGAAATCAGTAAAAAAAAAACAAAAACATCGCAGAAAGCATACTATTTATGGTTTTTAAAAGAAATACCATTACTTATGGTAATACGTTATTTACCCTAAGACACTAATCACATATAAATTTACATGCTAAGGTAAAGTTAAAGCGTTTTTGTGATCTAAGTGAGATGAGCTCAAGTGGTTTAAGTAGTTCAAGTAGTTGTATTCTAGGCACACACACAATATATATATATATATATATATTGTCTCACCTGTATGAGATACATTGTAATTCCGTTGTGTTATTGTTCCTCCAAGCGATTTAAACAGAAAAACACAGAACAAAACAAACACGCACCAAAAAACGGAGAGAGATGTATATAATTATTATGCAGCGGTGCCTTAAACTGCATTTACGACTGCACTTAGGAATAGGTTGCAACGCAGGCAGGTATCCGACTATCTCAGTATCTTTTATCTGTGTATCTGCTGGTTCTTCTTGTAGTTATTGCTTTGCTCGACTTGGAATGCAGCTAGTGTTTTTTATGATATTGCTTTTGCTGCCAGTCTATTTGCTTTCGAGTTTAGAGCAATTGTTTCAATTAAAAGGAAATTTGTTAACTTTCTCACTTAATGAAAATAAATTGAACACAAAACTGTTTTTTTCTTTCTCTTTGTGGCTTGGCAAATTTACAACTTCGATAAGAAAATACGAAGCAATTTCCAGCGCGATGTAAATAAAAATAGTTTCGAGACTGTTTCTTATTGTACACATTTATATAGTCGGGCTATATAAAGGTAAATAATCGGCAGCATTTAAAAAAAAAATAATAGTCGCTCGTATTTATTATTTTGATGCAATTCTCTGGGTCATTTCATGGGGGTTGTTTGACTAAATTTCATAAAGCAGATGTTTCTGTTTCCGTTTTTTTTTTGTGAATATTTATTTTCGCTCAGTTTGAACTCTTTTGCTTCACTATGGCAATTTTTGTGTGCCAAAAATGCCTTCACAAGTTCTTCTTAAATCGATCAAACAATTTTCAAACGAAAACGGCGAATTAAATTCATTGGAATTTGAGCAGTACTCCGATTATTTTATTTTATATTTCGATGTATGTTTACTTAGATTTATCACTTAAAACATGATTCATAATATTATTTTATATACAGTTCGATTTGGCTTGGTTTTAGTTGTAGTGCATTTTAAATTATTTAGTTAATTTATCGAACGCAGCGCAACACATTACTGCTGTTGCTACATGCACCCTCTACGAATGTTGAGCGCGAACTAAACATTGCTACACATTCAAAAGTTCAGCTGCAGACAAACACACTCACTCACAACAATAGAAGCACTGGAAATGTTATGCTCACAATGGCACTGCTAAACTCAAAATGGTATGCCTGGTTGTGGATGTTAAACGAAACACATACCACACGCAACATCATTATGATGTTCGAATGAGCCAGCGTTCACTGTCTTTGTTGTATGGAATGTTAATTTTAATGCAAATGTGGATCATGTTCGAGTCGAAGTAGTCGCTGCATATAATTTAGTTGCGTTGTTGCTTTCGACAGGCCATCTTAGGAATTTTGTCGTATTTTTTTCGAGGGTCGAAATTTACTACAGTTGATAAATAATTTTTAATATGAGTGGGATTGGCTTAATGGCTATTAAATGAATTAAACGAACAAAGAATAATTCGTTGAGGGGTTTTGGGTGAACAGTGATGACATAAAAAACAATATCGTTTTTTATTATTTATCTACTGTTTAAGCTCGTTGCTTAGAATACATACAAACAAACACACATGCACACTTACAGCTCATACATTTGTTTTGCAACTCCTCTGCTCGAATACTTCGCATACTTGTGGAACGCATTGCAACAGGTTCGTTCGTTGGCTGCTGGGCAGGCATACAAAATCAAAATCAAAGCATAAAGTAATTAATACTGGCAAGAGACCCACCTCCAAAAATGTGTGCGTAAGCGCAACCAACAAACAAAACAAAGCGAAACAGGAAATTTATCGCACGAAAACTTGTAAAATATTTCATAAACAGACTTTCAAGATAACATTTAATCAAATAAATATATAAATATTGATGCCAATAAATAAATAATTAAAAATATACTTTTTAAAAATGCTTCTAATAATAGAAAATATTTTTAAAAAATCATTTAGGACAAGGGTTCATATTATTAAATTATTTTTGTAGTGTTAAGGAAAAGAATATAATAGAAAAACTTTATATTTTTACGGTCGATTTTCATTTTTCATTTCACCAAAATATTTTTTTCTGAGTTTGGCAAACTGCACATTGTCTGGCATTGATGGGTTGTCTGGCAGTCTGCCTGCGTCCCTTTTTCTGACAATGAATGGCAACGCCAACAGCAGCAATTAAGTGAAAATGAAACTTGCAATCGCTGCTGTTATTGTGGCTCGAATATGTGGCAGCAGCGTGATAAATGCGGTTATAAAAACTGGCAATCAAGCAGCCTCAGCGTCAGCTTCAGTTGCACACAAACGAAAGTGAAACAAAACCGCCGACAAACAAGCCAACGAGCCAGCGAAAACTTGCAATTTCCATTTTAATACGCAACAACTTTCGGCTAGAGGCAGGCAAAGGCAGGCAAAAGGCAAGGAAGCAAACGAGAAGTGGATGCGATTTTTTTTGCTTGTCTGCCTCTTTTTGCCATACCAAAGCTGTGAGACGCCCAACGTTAAAGTTAAACGAGTAACAGTCGCACACACAGCACACAACCCACAACAGACAACAGACACGTTCCACGTGTTCCACACCCTCAACACCCCAGCAAGGAGTTCGAGTTTGGCTGGAGTTGGGGCAAAGTCTCGGCTGGGGCATGTCATCAGCATAAATTTCAGTTCACATTCATCATAATTTTCTTGCATTTAATTTGTGCTATAAATTGCCTGCACCCAAACAATGTTCCTATGAATCTGCTGCAAAAGGGCGGCCTCAAATCAACTCGGATTCGGTTTTGATACCCTCTATCCAATTAGTGACAACCAGACCGCCGTACTCAGAGAGAGCATTTGTTACAAAGAGAGAGAGAGATTTGTGTAGGGTACCTGCTTATGTTCGTTTAAAACAAGTTAGAATGCTGTAGTTGAGTGAGCTCGACTAAGTTATATTAACAAAACAGGGGCACTTTTCGATCAAATGAACCAAACTTGATCTGCGCGTAATATATACGAGAAGTTACGTTCCAAATTGGAAGACTCCAGCTCTTATAGTCACAAAGATACGCTTGTTCATACAGACCGACATGATTATATAGAGTCTGCTGTCTCTGCTGATGAAGAATGTATACACTTTATGGGGAGATGCTTCATTCTGTATACAAATGTTTATTCATTTTGAATACAGGCTTAAATCTATGAAATAAGTGGGTCTTATCCAAAAGCTATCAATGGCTAGGAACGTTGGCTGAAACCCGAAAGTACATGCGAAAGTGTTCAATATACAGTTGATCACTTGCTGGTCAGTAGTTTCAGTGGTTAAACAGTGGTCAATATCAGTTGTCGACAGTAGCAGCCATATTCACTTCCACTCCCTGCAGTGCTATTAACAAATCTGTACACTTAGAAAAAAATTGCTCTGAAATTAAAAACATTTTTTAACAATATCTAAATTTTATAATTTTTCTATTATTAAGAAATGCCAATCTAAAAAGTAGAAATGTAAACTCCGATTCTAAGAAAAATCCTCTCTTCAATTCATAAAAGTTATATTTGAGTTTAGACAATACTAGTATTGTCTGCTTGGTGCTGTTACCTACTTTAATGACCACTCTACTCAGTGACAAAGGGTCTCTAGGGTTCACCGTAAAATCGTAAGTATTCTCAGATCTAGTTGTATGAATCTATGAACTATGTAAAATGTGTTTATATATGTGAGATTTAAAAAAAATAATGTTTAATAGTAAATATAAGTAATAAAAAAAACTAAAATAAGAATTTTTACATTTGCCCCGCACAAAGAAAATAGCACTCACTGTAAATTATACATATTTTTCTACATTTGAGAAAAATCCAACCTGAAATTAAGAGATGCCAACCCTGTTTTTTATAAAGGCACAACCATCAATTTTTTAAATTTACTTATTGAATAATAAGGAAGCCTTAACGCCAAAAGTGTGGCGATTTACTAAAGTTCAGTGAGTTTTTTCTGAGTGTATACGCAAGATAGCAAACTGGTTGCCACAAAAAGATGCGTTGTTGTTGATTTTGTTATTGTGTTGCAATCAGCAATGCAGCAACAGAAACAACAACCCTAACATGGGCAGACGAGGCAAGGTCGGTTGGCTGGCAGTGGCTAAAGATCGTTAGGCGAGACGTCCGGGTCAGGGGTCAGTAGTCAGGCAGGTAGAGGAGTATCTCACGGATGCATAGACGAGTGCTGCGGCCATTTAATATTCGCAATCAACGCAGCCGCCGTGGCAAATGAATCGCAATCATAATTTACGACTTTATTATGTAATTACACCCAAAGAGTCGTCCAGGTTAATGCTTTTCGCAGGTAGAAGAATATCCTGATTAGCCCCGACAGGAACTGATTGCCGAGAGTCCTAAACAAATAGGCGCTTGATATTTATTATTGACTTACACAACGAATTCCGTTTTTACAGTTTCCCCTCAATTCAAAAACTTACCTGCAAATAGATGGAAAAAAATAGTTTGTTTATTAGTCATGGAGCAAAAAAAAATATAAAATGCGAGAAAAGGAAAAACGCATTTCAAAGATATCTGAATAAATATGGCGAAAATAAGCGTGGCAATGATTAGGCAATTTCCGTTGACATGCAATTTCCTTTCCCCCATGAGTGGAAATCAAGTTTTCCCATTGAGGATTTTCTATTGTGTTTGCTTTGCTTTCTTGCTGATGATTGCAAAATGGCAAAAACTGATCAACGAGATTGAGCCTAATAAAGCCTAATGGGTTGAGAGTGTTTCGCTATGATACTTAGGGTTTAACTATAAATTATATATATATTATAAATTATAATATCGCCAAAATCCGCCACGGACTATACTTAGCCTATATTACTTATATGACATCTTCGTCTTGAATTTACGGTCAGGAGGCCGATAAGTAAATTTTTCCCATGAATATGAAATACAGCAATCCTTGTCGACTTGAGGGTTTATATTTCTTTCACACTGACATGTTTCCCTAAAATAATACATATATTCTTTTCGTTGCTATGGCGAGATATTCTGCTTTAAAGTGTCTTGAGGACATCTCCCCACATTCTCAAGAAATCGTCAGAGTCCAAGACGAACGACACATAGTCTAGAATTTCCACTCAGGAGACGTGTAAATATTTGAAGTATGTTTTTCAACCTAGATATTAATTATATAATAATCAATTGAGGCATATATCTTTCCCCATTTCGCAGTTGTTGCTTCAATATGGTTTCGGTTCTATAAGGGACCACCTCTTTGTCACCAATCCCCGCCTAATCATGACAATCTCTCTCATTGATGTTTCAAATGTTTGTGTTTAGCTTAACTCGTAACACAAACCTGATAGTTCACTGAAACTACGCCCCCTCCAAACCCGCTCAATATGAAGATGTGTTCAACACTTG